CCAGATGCTGGTTCCTCGATGTTTCTGCTCCCATCAAGAAACTCCACGGTTTCACAGAATGATACTGTCACTCTGTTTGGGTTTTCAGGCCCAGAGGGCAGAGCAGAGCTCTGCTTCTGTTTATAATCTGGTTATTACACATTTATATTTTCAATTTATCAATGTTTAGAATCAGATCAGAAAACCTATAAAGGTCCTTAGTAAGAGGAGACGCTGGTTCTGTTTTGTTCAGATACGTTCCAAAATTGAACCACCAAGAAGCTGTTAGGAGGAAATAAATACCCATCCAGGGTGAACACACTGGTCATAAAATAAATGTTCATAAACTGAATATCAAATCATCGTCAGCGCTCACATCCAGAACCTCAATATTTTGACCGATAGAGGAGTGATGGAGCTGCTGAGAGCTGCCCAGCTCCACCCTCCGCAGCGGGCCAAGATGCTGCACTGAGGTACGACAGTAGAACCACAGCCATCTGAGAGCGTTAGGCTGAGCCTCATGGAGGCCAAACACCATCTGACCCCCGGCCCCTAAAGCCTGCAGGATCTGAACCCAGAATGCTGCTCATCCACCTCAGTCCCCTGATGAACCATACGCAGCAGATGTGAAGCCATCAAACTGTCTGTTTGGCTGCATGGTGGAGAATTGCGTCCCTAAGGGACACTGTCCTCTTCCTGCACCCCTGCTTCCACATGAACAAAGCTCCTCCTCATGATAACAGGAACTGATCCCCACCCAGGGACTTTGCTGACTCACAATCCTTCAGTGCCTCTGTGCAACCTGAGAGCTTTTCCACAGCTTCACATTATTGTTTCTGCAAAGATCTCCGATACAACAGCAGCTCCTTTTTCTGCAAACGTTTGACTCAGTTTAACTTTTAAACCAAATAAGTGATCTAGCTGCAGAAACAGCCTCGTCTCTCTGGTGTCTTTCTGACTTCATCATTCTCTCACGCCCAGCTGCTCCAACATGCATCTCTATTGATTTGTGGAGGCTTTAAAGAAACATGGTCCAGTGCTGGGGATCCAAAGCCAGGTCTGGGAGACATCAGCTCAAGATTAAATAGCGAAGGATAGCAGCAATAAGGGGGATTCAAAGGCGTACATACTGGAAGAAGGGAGACAAAAAGGTAAGATGGAGAAAAAAACTATTTTGATTAGGCAACGACTGGAAAAATAATGACAAGATTGGTTGACTATTAAACTCATGGTTAGCTGCAGATCTAAAAACAACAAGAAAGGTTTAGCCTCCTGCAGATTTAAAAAGATGAATCAACTGAACCAAACATGTCATCCTCTAAAACACAGATATACAAAACACCTCAAAACCTCCTCCTCCATCTGCAAAGCACGGTGGTGGAGGGCTGATGGTCCTGTCCCAGATCTCTTCCTCCAACCGCCTTATAGTGGATGGAAACGTTGCAGTGGAGGCAGCTCCACCGACTGCCCGCTGATGACGGGTGGTCAGATAGAAACCTGCAGAACGAAACTCAACTTTCGGACCGACACAAGGACCAACCATCAGGACAAAATGCACCAGATGATCAGCAAACCTCTGAGTGAAAGCTGCAGCAAGGGCCCAGCCCTGACCTCCACCTAATGGAGACGGCGAGCTTGGAGCTTCAGAGGGCTATGCAGAAGGCAAAGTGCACAGAGCAGAGAGGGGCGTCAGGAATGTTGAGTTCTGGATGATCTCTGTGGGCGTTTATCACAGCTGGTGATAACTTCTGTCAGCTCCTTTCACTGACGAGTGGGAGCCACATTTCTCTGTAATCTAATCCCAGGCTCAGACTGCACAGATCCACTCAGACACTCCTAGTTTATTGCGGCTCAAACCAGCATCAACCTCATGTGGGGCAATCTGAGGAAAACACAAACATGAAAAGCAGAAGTGTTTGACGGGACAGGAGTTATTGCTTACAGGTGAGGATGCAGTGAAGAGTCTCATAGATCATGATTTTACAGCATGTCTGCTGTGGAGCATGAAATATGATCATGGAAGAAAGCAAAACCAGAGAGTCGCAGTGAACCAACCGCGCTGACAGGCTGGGAGCTGCTGCAGGAGTCAGTCCGACACTACCAGGCAATTTAAGGGCTCCATCATATTAGGAAATAATTAAGCCTCGTTTCTATGGTTTAGTTTTGCAATAAACCCATTATTTAATCACATGGTTCTTCTCTATCTGCCCTGTCTTCTCTCCACTCAGCGTAGCTTCAACATCTCTGCCATTACAAACACAATAATGGGCAGACGGTGCATAAGACTGGAAGCATCACAGCCAATTACCACAGCAGTCCTTCACAGCTTTGATGCTGCAAGAATTCAGATCATAGCAGCTGTTATCTGACATATGAGGCAGCTCCACTAAGATCAACAAGAATAACAAAACGTCTCTTCCATTAGAAACAGCCAGAGAAAATCCCAAAGCGCTGGCCTGTAAAAACAGCAGAGCTGGGTGAGGAAGCTGCGCTTCATGTGCTCGTCGAGATAAGCAGCGTCTCTGTCTGTCAAAGGCTTCCCAGAAAACGGCGGACATGGCAGAGAGCTCTGATGCTGAGGTGTCGGTTTGCAGAAAGCGTCTCATTTTTCTGATTTCAGAAAGACAAAACATGCTCCCATTTAAAGTCTGCTTTTTATCAGCTGAAAAAAGTACTACAAAAAATTGGTGTTGCACCGATGCCTTTTTTTTGGTCCTGATACCAGATACCTGGCTGTGCATTATCGGCCAATACCGATACCATAACGATACCATCTGTTTGAAATTGATGTGTGTGTGTATAAATGAAAAACTGCATACTGCTTGGATGTAAAATAATTGCCATCATGGCTTTGTCAAGCTGCTGCCTACCGTTGTAAAGCAGGAAAAAGATTAATACAAAGCGCAACACAGACAGACACAAACAACCATTTATACACCCACTCATCAATAAGGAGAATTTAGAGAAGCCAATTAACCTAACAATCATTGTTTTTTTTATAACTTAATTTTTATTCAAATTTTTGCAACTTCCACAGACATATACATACAAGCCCACGTTCAGTCTGCTGTTCTTCGCTTGCAGTATACCGTAATTTTCGGACTATAAGCCGCAACTTTTTTCCCCTTTTTTTGACCTTGCAGCTTATAGTCCGGTGCGGCTTGTATATGTACAAATCATGCAATTTAGCTTCTGCGGCTTATATTCAGGTGCGGCTAATAGTCCGAAAATTACGGTACTTAAAAATTTTTTTTTTTGATAATATACAAGTAAGTCACATGGTTAAACATGAGTAACTTACAAACGTAGTTATTAATTAAATACAGCGCAAATGGAGATAGATGAATGAAATAAAAATAAAATAAAAAATAATTAAGTAAAAAATAAAGGAGTATAATATATATATATATATATATATATATATATATATATATATATATATATATATATATATATATAAAAAAGAAAAAGAAAAAAAATATATACATATAAAGGAGATTTTTACTGCATTAGTATGGTCATGGCCGGTTTCCACCTATTAACAAATATGTCTTTTTGAGGCTTCAGGCAACAATTATTTATTCCATATGATAGATTTCTCAGACCTTTTCAACCCACATTTTGTATGTTGGTGGGCCAGGCTTCACAATGATGCATTTAAGAGCTGCAATAAGTAAAATTTGTACAAGGTATTTTTTTTTCTCTTCCAGTAATGTCTTTTGGTAATAACCGTCCTGTTTTTGGACTGTGGGAGGAAGGCGGAGTACCCGGAGAGAACACACACATGCTCAGAGAGAACATGTAAACTCCATGGAGAAAAAATCAAACCCTGAACCTTATTGCTTCAAGGTAGCAGTGCTACCCACAGCGCTACTGAGCAGCCCATTTTGTCCTTCCTTTTAAGCAAAATACATTCAGAATTGAACAAGTAAATGCATAAATGTCCACTTTATGAAGCTACTTTCAGTGCAGACAGGTTCCATCACATTAATATTAATATACTGTTCTTCTTTGACTATTTTGAGCTGATGTAACAAGTAAATTTCTCCTCTGTGAGATCAATATAGTCAATCAAATAATTCCAATCCCTCCCCAATACTTGACCACTAATACTCTCAAAGAAGGAAATGACATATAAACTGTTTATGCCAAAAGGCAGCAGTTGAAGCAAAGGTCTAATTTATGATTGTTTGGTTATTTTTATATGGCTCATATGCTAATATGGAAAAAATTATTCTACTTTAGGTTTGCAAAAGTGAAACAAAGGTTCACATCTTTCCTCTAGTCAGGTTATTTTCTGTTACTTCCCACATATTTCTCCAGAAGAACCATCATTTCCAGTAGCTAGACGTGACGTCTGAAGTGGGTGAAATGATCAAGAGAAGTGCCATTAAATTCACATTAACGGTTAATTACCATCAACACGTTAAAACAAACATGACTGCATTAAAGGGTATAAAGATCGGAATTATTCGGCTCACCAATCTGAAGCGAAAACCTTTACATTTTACCCAACAATAAAAAAATAACTTAACCAATGCATTTAGATTACAAATGAACGATATGAATAAAGTAGTCATCTGTTACAAATGCAACAAGCCTGGTGGATGAAACACCAGCCGGATAAAGCTGTATGTACAGACTCATTAAATTGGAGGCAGAGTCTGGTGTTATCTGGACCGGATCAGAACCAGCGAGCTAAAACCGAACAAAGTGGAGCATTTCTGAAGGAGCTTTGGTTCCAGCAGGAAGCAGCAGAGAAAAAGACAAACAGCTGACGTTTCCTGGAGGACCAAGTCCTGCTGTGACCACAGCGTGACCGTGAGTCCTGTGAGTGGTCACAGGAACACCCACGACAGGAAAGCTGAACCCACGGACCTTACAGCAGAGGTCAAGAACCAGAACCAGAGCAGAGGTCCACTTCTGGCCGATTCACACAGAGAACCAGGATATACCAGAGCTTCCGGTGAGGCTAACAGGACAAATTCTGCTTTGAATTACAGCGTGACAGAAAACGGTACCTGCACGAACCAAACCGTCCCACGGAGCCTGGACACAGCTGCAAGCCCACACTCTCCGTGTTTCTGTGAATCAGCCTGCTCCACTGCACCGACTGTACTCTGCTGCGCATGCGCAGACACAAGCGAGGACGAAGGTAGGGGACCCAATGACGTCAGGAGGCAAAGCAGCCAATGAGCGCAGAAATAAAAATAAGAAAAACATTAAACACACTCACCATAGCCCATATATATATATATATATATATATATATATATATATATATATATATATATATATATATATATATATATATATATATATATATATATTCAAGATTCAGACATCAAAACTATGAATTAACACATGTGGAATTATATACTTAACAAAAAAGTGTGAAACAACTGAAAATATGCTTCAATTACTGCTTCTCACACTGTTGGCATTCTCTTGATGAGCTTCGAGAGGTAGTCACCAGAAATGATTTTCACTTCACAGGTGTCCCCTGACAGGTTTAATAAGTGGGATTCCTTGCCTTATAAATGGGGTTGGCACCCTCAGTTGGGAACATCTCTGGACTCAGACCCTTCTAGTGTCCCCTCTCTAGCCTCAGAACCCTCTAGTGCTTCTTCTCTTTTGGGTTAGACCCCTCTTGTGTCCTCTCTCCAGGCTTGGACCTCCTTAATTCTCTCTTTTCAGGATCAGATCTCCTTACTTCCCCTCTCCGGAGACCCCTGAGCCCACTCTGTGCATCTAGAGACTCCTGAGACCCGCTGATGAACTGGTATATAAAGATATATATATATATATATATATATATATATATGTATATACATATATATATATATATATATATATATATATATATATATATAATATATGTTGGGAGCTGGAGAATTTCCACCTTTCTCCAGCAGAGTCCGCCGTGGATCCTCTGAGGGAGCCTCCTGCACAGCTGCAGCTCGTCAAGATCATCAGAGGATCCACTACTTAAGCTGTCTTCAGACCTTGCCTCAATGCCGCAGTGTTGTTCCAGTTGGTCAGCGCTTAAGCCTAGATCCTCAGAGTAATTCTATGACTCTTGAATCCAGCTTGGATTCTAACCCTTGTATCTGTTTTCCAGGAAACCTGTGCTTCCTCTGTGAAAGCTCAGGAAGAGCTAACCTGCCGAGCCGACCCTCTGAGCCAAACCTGAAGAATCACAGAGAACCTCCAAGCAGCTCTGGACTAGAGCTGGGAAACCCAAAGCCAAGGTCTGTTCATAAGAGACGTGAGACGCTGAAGCAGCAAACGGACTCTGCTGATGAACTCTTCTCCAGAACCAACAGAGACTCTCCCAAAGCTAACCTCAAGAACCCTCAAGGTACACTCAGTGAACTTTAGGAAATCAAACCTCTGTTGGCAACGCTAACTGAACTGTCTCCCACGCAGACTCCGGTGAACCAGAATCCAGGCCCCGAACCAGAACCAGCATATTCAGTGTGCTTGTGCATAAATAAACTGTTAAACTTTCATCCCTGTGTCCGTCAGTGGTGTTCTGCATTCTTGGGTCGCTTTTAGTGAACCCATCATGACAATATATATATATATATATATATATATATATATATATATATATTATATAGAGAGCTCGGTGAGAGTCTGTTCTCTAGGCCACTCAGTGGGCACTCCTCGCCTCCTAAGCCCCTCAGAGGGCGCTCCTCGCCTCCGACGCCTCCTCAGTGGGCGCTCCTCCCCTCAAGGCCCCTCAGCGGGTGCTCCTCACCTCCGAGGCCTCCTCAGCGGGCGCTCCTCGCCTCCGAGGCCCCTCAGCGGGCACTCCTCGCCTCTGAGGCCTCCTCAGTGGGCGCTCCTCTCCTCCGAGGCCCCTCAGTGGGCGCTCCTCTCCTCCGAGGCCTCCTCAGTGGGCGCTTCTCCCCTCCGAGGCCCCTCAGTGGGCGCTCCTCGCCTCTGAGGCCTCCTCAGTGGGCGCTCCTCCCCTCCGAGGCCCCTCAGTTGAATAAACTTTTGGCTCTCAAAATGGTACTGGTGCCCTATTTGTTGGTACTCGCCGATACCGATACCACCATTTTAGTGAAGTACTGGGGCCCCACCCGATACTGGTATCGGTATCGGTGCAACACTACTAAAAATGTAAAATTATAACGAGTTGTTCGTCCTCTTTAGCTGTGTTAAATTTGATGAACAATTGAAATAGAATCCAAAATGTTGACATTTCTTCCACTTAGCATGGTGTTGTATTCTCCCAGAATGCCTCTGCCTTCACATGCTGTATGGAGTGATCTGTGGTGCTTTAAGATTCATGACAAAATGTGGAGCGATAAGTATTCACTGTCTTGTAAAGTAAAATGGTCGTCTTTGCATGAGTGCCAACTTTATTATCAATAAGCCTCTACACTCACCGGACACTTTATTATGTACACCTGTCCAACTGCTCATTAACACTTAATTTCTAAGCAGCCAATCACATGGCTGCAACTCAGTGCATTTAGGCATGTAGACATGGTCAAGACAATGTCCTGCAGTTCAAACCAAGCATCAGTATGGGGAAGAAAGGTGATTTGAGTGACTTTGAACGCGGCATGATTGTTGGTGCCAGAAGGGCTGGTCTGAGTATTTCAGAAACTGCTGATCTACTGGGATTTTCACGCACAACCATCTCTAGGGTTTACAGAGAATGGTCCGAAACAGAAAAAACATCCAGTGAGCGGCAGTTCTGTGGGCGGAAATGCCTTGTTGATGCCAGAGGTCAGAGGAGAATGGACAGACTGGTTGGAGCTGATAGAAGGGCAACAGTGACTCAAATAACCACCCGTTACAACCAAGGTGGGCAGAAGAGCATCTCTGAACGCACAGTATGTCGAACTTTGAGGCAGATGGGCTACAGCAGCAGAAGACCACAGCGGGTGCCACTCCTTTCAGCTAAGAACAGGAAACTGAGGCTACAATTTGCACAAGCTCATCGAAATTGGACCATAGAAGATTGGAAAAACGTTGCCTGGTCTGATGAGTCTCGATTTCTGCTGCGACATTCGGATGGTAGGGGCAGAATTTGGCGTCTACAACATGAAAGCATGGATCCATCCTGCCTTGTATCAACGGTTCAGGCTGGTGGTGGTGGTGTCATGGTGTGGGGAATATTTTCTTGGCACTCTTTGGGCCCCTTGGTACCAATTGAGCATTGTTGCAACGCCACAGCCTACCTGAGTATTGTTGCTGACCATGTCCATCCCTTTATGACCACAATGTACCCAACTTCTGATGGCTACTTTCAGCAGGATAATGTGCCATGTCATAAAGCTAGAATCATCTCAGACTGGTTTCTTGAATATGACAATGAGTTCACTGTACTCAAATGGCCTCCACAGTCACCAGATCTCAATCCAATAGAGCATCTTTGGGATGTGGTGGAACGGGAGATTCGCATCATGGATGTGCAGCCGACAAATCTGCGGCAACTGTGTGATGCCATCATGTCAATATGGACCAAACTCCCTGAGGAATGCTTCCAGCACCTTGTTGAATCTATGCCACGAAGAATTGAGGCAGTTCTGAAGGCAAAAGGGGGTCCAACCCGTTACTAGCATGGGGTACCTAATAAAGTGGCCGGTGAGTGTATTTACACAGCTATTTTTAAATAGCTGCATCTTATTTATTAACTCATATTTCCAATAACAGGGCCTACAGGTCCAGGACTATTCCAACTTTGCCTTTCCTCAGTGCACAACCGGATTCAGAAACAGCTTTATTGACAAACGGTATTTGATACAGTGAGGTTGCTTTGATGACTCCTTCTGGAGTCGATGAGCCTCGATGAACCTTGATGAACCAGAAAACTGGTCTTCAGGCTTAATTTCCAGCAGCAACTTTCTGCATACCATGACCATCCGATGGTGATGATGATAACGATGATGATTAATATGGCATCGATGATGATAATGATTATGACGATGGTTAAGATGATGTTTATGATGACGATGATGATGACAAAGATAATGTTTACGATAATGATGATGAAGGTGATGATGATGAAGATGATGACTGCAGCATATTTACGGTAGCTAACACACCAAACCACTGATTCTAACTCGCACTTCGCTCCTTTAAATCATTGAGGCTGAAGAGTTTGGAAGAAGCTTTCTTCATGAATCAAAGAAGTCTGCTTAAAGTTCAGTATTTATTATAAAGACAGAAGCCCAGTTTTATTACCATACAGAAATCTCCCTTAATAAATCTATGTTGCAATAAACATTGAATCAAGAGATAGAGAGCTGATGTTACACTTAATGATTGGAATCATGCAAGAACTGAACGTGAAAAGAGCACAAGGCTCAGTTTGCAGCCCCAGCAGCAGCGGCGGCCATCTGCTGCAGCCTCTGAGGGAGGGTGACGGTGAAAAAGTGAACCCTGTGCTCCTTCAGTTTCTGCCTGGCAGTCTGGTTTTGGCCCAGCTCCATGTACTCCTGCTTCTGCCTGTCGTACAGCGGCCAGTTCACCAGACCAGGACCGTTAGGAGAGCTGGGGAAACATTGAGAGACAAACCAAATAATCTGTATGATTAAACATGAAACGGAGAAGTAGACTTCTAAAGGTCTTTAGTTTTCTGCATGTCTTCTGCCTCGCTCTGGAATGAACAAAGTTTTCTCCACTTCTGGTTGCCTGGGATGCCCCCTGCTGACCGTAGCAGGGATGCCATAAACCTGCAGGCCTTCAGATTGCCATGTCAATGGAGTAAACATCAGTCAGGGTTTGTTCCACAAGTCGGCCTCCAGCAGGTCAGAGATATTGTATTCTTAAAAACTTTAAGGCGAATAAAACACTTTTATTGTTTGTCATGTTCTACAGACGTGTGTCAGAAAAACAGCTAAAAAAGTCAGATCTTTAAACATTTTACCCACGATGGCTGATGTTCAGTTCTTGGTGTATGTGTCGGGAATCCAGTTTGTGTGGTCTGTTTTTGTGTTTCCTTTCCTCCTCCACCAGGTGGTGCCCTGTCCTCATTGGGTCTCCCTGCACACCTGCAGCTCATTGCCTCATTACCTTTGGAGTGCTCTTAAGCTGCTGACTGCCACTACTTCGACGCCAGAGTGTTTACCAATACTGGGTACTCTAGCCATGCTTAGTTTA